CTTGGGCGATAGTTAAAAAATAAGGGGGATTTCATGTAAGAATGGAAATGCCCAGTTTCTCCAGGAGAAGTAAAGTCTGGCAGCATGAGCCAGACCGTGTATCAGTGGCAGCTGAGCCAAGGCTTCCATTGCTGTCTCCCCCTGGCACTCATCTTTGCTCCCTGCTGGGTCCTGTGGGTATCTGTCCACCTTCCCCGGGTCCTGGCCCCTTCCCAGTACAATTCAGGAGTGCTGGGTGGTCCCTGACCTGTGCCACACCCCCGGGCTCTTCCCGCAGGGAGTGTGGACGGCATCCTGCGTACTTTGACCTCTTCATGGCCTACAGCCCTGGTTATTTTGTGGTGGATATTGTGGCCCGGGACCTGGCAGGTCACAATGATACAGCCATCATCGGCATCTACATCCTGAGGGATGACCAGCGCGTCAAGATCGTCATCAACGAGATCCCTGACCGTGTGCGTGGCTTCGAGGAGGAGTTCATCCGCCTGCTATCCAACATCACGGGTGCCATTGTCAACACTGATGACGTGCAGGTGCCCTGGGACCCACCTTGGACTAGGGGCAGTGGGAGGCCAAGGGTACAAAAGGGATATGTGCTGCCTCAGCCGTTTCCTAGCAGCATGACTTTGAGGAAGGTCCCCCAGGTGTCTGGCCTTGGTTTCCTCATCCATAAAATGGGGCCAATAATAAATTGCACGTGGCATGCTTGTCACTCTGCTTAGTCCTCAGTGAGATTTGGCAACCACAGGTCTACTGCAGGGCAGGGCAGGGCAGGGCAGGGCAGGGCAGAGGAGGAGCTCCTGGAAGAAGCCTGTCCACCCCATCCCCTGCCATGGTGCCCACACCCTACAAGGCCCCTTCTCACCTAGTTCCACGTGGACAAGAAGGGGCGGGTGAACTTTGCCCAGACGGAGCTGCTCATCCATGTGGTGAACCGTGACACCAACCGCATCCTGGACGTGGACCGGTGGGTGGGGTCTGTACTCTATCTGCCTGCCTGCTTGCCCTGGAATTGGGGAAAGGAATCCCTAAAGGAGGCACAAACACCACCATCAGGCCACTGTGTGGGGCTCCCCCCAAGAGGTGGGCAGGGCTGGGGGAGAGAATGAAGCATGGGAGCCATGAACAGAGAGCTCTGACCCTCTGAGCCTTACTCTTCTCATCTGTAAAATGGCAGCATCCTGTTGTGAGGGTGGACAAAGCTCTCCTGGCTGGGCAGTCTTTCTTTTTGCAAGGCTTCAGGGTGGAGGGTGAACCTGGTGGCTCAAGGTGGGAGCAGAGCAGACTGTGTCGGGGGTAATTCTGGCTATGAGGGGAGGGGGTTGCTGAGATGGAGCTGAGGCCCAGCCCCTCGTCCAGTGTGATCCAGATGATCGATGAGAACAAGGAACAGCTGCGCAATCTTTTTCGGAACTACAATGTCCTAGACGTGCAGCCTGCCATCTCTGTCCGGCTGCCAGATGACATGTCTGCCCTGCAGGTACTGGCCCTGTCCTCTGGGGCCTGGGCTCCACTCCAGAGCCCACCCACTCAGGCCTGGCCTGCTCTCCCCACAGATGGCTATCATTGTCCTGGCCGTCCTCCTCTTCCTCGCAGCCATGCTCTTCATCCTCATGAACTGGTACTACAGGACCGTGTAAGTGTCCTCACCCCTGCCCTGCAGTGAACAGGCTGAACACCCTGCCTGGACGCTGGGGAGCAGGGAGACCAGCCTCCCTCAGGCACCTCTCTCTCCTTCCCTCCAGACACAAGAGGAAGCTCAAAGCCATTGTGGCCGGCTCAGCAGGTGAGCAGGGCTGTGGTGGACTGGGAAGGGAGAGGGGAAGGGAGAGGGCAAGGGGCCCCTTCCCCTCTCTACCTCTCCCTAACCTTCTCCCTGCAGGGAACCGTGGCTTCATTGACATCATGGACATGCCAAACACCAACAAGTACTCCTTTGATGGGTGAGTGGGGTCCTAGAGCCCTGCCGGGTTTGGGAAGTTCTGCCAGGACCCAGCTGGAGGGAATCCCCTGCAGCTTCCCAGGCACTGGTGGAAACCTGGAGTGTGGGCACCCCCTGGTGGTCTATGCACTCCTTTCCATGAAACTATATTCCTGAGCTGGGCTCTCTACCTTAATGGGCCTGTTTCAGCTGACACAGGCTGACATGTCCTGGTTCTAGTGGACACTAAGGTGAAAGAATGCAACTCCTTAAGGTGAGGGGCCCTGCACATTAAACCTGTGACAGGTACCACAGCTGGCCAGGCACACAGCAAGGCACGGGCTTAGGGGCAAGGCTGGGAGAGCATCTGGTCACTTGAGCCATCCCTCCTTGTTCCACCCATTCCACTCCCCAACTACAGAGCCAACCCCGTGTGGCTGGATCCCTTCTGCCGGAATCTGGAGCTGGCTGCACAAGCTGAGCACGAGGATGACCTGCCTGAGAACCTTAGTGAGATCGCTGACCTGTGGAATAGCCCTACTCGTACCCACGTGAGCCTGGTGCAATGGGCGGACAGTACAGAGGGATGGGGGTCTTTGCCACCTCTAGCAGGGGCTTTGGAGAGTGATCTGCTACCCTGTGCATGTGTGGGTGTCTACCTCTGCTCCAGCTGACGTCCCCTCTCCCCAGGGAACTTTTGGACGTGAGCCAGCAGCAGTCAAGCCTGACGATGATCGGTACCTGCGGGCAGCCATCCAGGAATACGACAACATTGCCAAGTTGGGGCAGATCATTCGTGAGGGGCCCATCAAGGTGAGCCTTCCCTGTGGGCTCCTGCCCCCACCTCCAAGATGCAGAAAAGTGGACACTCCAGGCTTAGCTAGACCTGCCCTCTGTGACGGTGAGAACACCAGGGCACCTAAGGAGTGACAGCAACCTGCCCCTTGAGGCTGGGCTCAGGTATGAGCCCATGTGGGTTCTGGCCAGTCACTAGACTTTTCTCCCATCCTCTGCCCTAGGAGTGGACACTCCCACAGGGAGTGAGCAAGGTGGGCAGGGGCTGCCTTGGCGGGTTAACCTTTCCCTCCCCCAGGGCTCGCTGCTGAAAGTGGTCCTGGAGGATTACCTGCGGCTCAAAAAGCTTTTTGCACAGCGGATGGTGCAAAAAGCCTCCTCCTGCCACTCCTCCATCTCCGAGGTAGCGAGGTAGCTGGGTCGGGTGGGAGCTGTGTGCCGTGCCCCGTTCCTGGGGGTGCTTTTGCTCTCCTGCCACTTGCTCCTCGTCTCTGGAGCCCAGTAGCCAGGGCCAAAGCCCACATTGATGGTGGGTCCAGGAAGTCACAGGGGGGCTCTGCTTTCTGGTCTCTGAAAGGGTCTTTCAGGGATGGGGTAGGGTGGGCTCAGAACCCCAAGCTACTTTTGAGGGGTGATTTCCTTAAAAAAAAAAAACCTGGACACAAGGTCAAACAGGCCTACCTGTGTGCCTATAGCAATTAGGTCGACATTTACAAATTCAGACTTTACCTAAAAAGTGATTCCATCTGGACGCACACTGCCAACTGGAACTGGAATAGCCTGACAGCAAAACTGCCATCTGAGTCTGTTCCACACCCAGTGTGTGCCCTCTGACTTCTGTGGACACTTTACCTGGCAGGCTTGACGTCAACTTAGTTATAACCCCAGAGACAATTGTCACAGAATTCTTACAAAATGAATACATAAGATTAAAGATTCTCACAGGATACCCATATTCCTGAGGCCACAATAGCATCTCAAAAACCCATAGGTCCCCTTCACACCCTGCTTGAGAAGTGCTGACAGGCTGGGGTAGGTCCTGTGTGAGGTAGGGAGGAAATAGGCACCTACTGGGTGGGACTCCAAGGCCATCACCTGCTCATGCCATGGGCATGGCCCTGAGCTTGTGGGGGGTTGCTGGTCTCTTACAGCTGATCCAGACAGAGCTGGAGGAGGAGCCTGGGGACCACAGTCCAAGCCAGGGTAGCCTGCACTTCCGCCACAAGCCACCCATGGAATTCAAGGGGCCAGACGGGATCCACGTGGTACATGGCAGCACTGGCACACTGCTGGCCACTGACCTCAACAGTCTACCCGAGGATGACCAGAAGGGCCTGGGCCGCTCGCTGGAGACACTGACTGGTGCTGAGGCCACTGCCTTTGAGCGCAACGCCCGCACAGAGTCAGCTAAATCCACACCTCTGCACAAGCTCAGAGATGTGATCATGGAGAGCCCCCTGGAGATCACAGAGCTGTGACTAGTGGGGTGTCAGAGCAAGGCCCTGGCCAGGCCAGCTCTGCACAGATGACCATGGGTTGGCCCTGGCGGCCTACGCAGCTGCTCAAACAGATTCTATTTTGCCAGCCGCTCATTCAGCATCTGATCTTTACCTTCACAAGATTTATTATTTTTTTAAGAAAATCAAACAAAAATGCTAAGCGACTTAAGGACCAGGTAAGGAGTGTCACTGGGGGCACAGGAGGCTGAGGACCAGCTCACCTGGGCTAGAGACGCCAAGTAAGCCCTCTTCCTCTCCCTACTCCACCCCTGGCCACTACAGGGCAGGAGCCCAGCACAGGGGCGCAAGACCCAGAGCTGGAACCCCTGCTGGCCTATGACAGTGACTTCAGTTTAAGTCCCACTTGCACTCCTGCCTGATGGACATCCAGGTGGAGGTCCTCCACTTGGACAAGAAGGTCAATGTTGACAACTGAGCATTCTCTCCATTTCACTGGCTTCCCCAATGTGCCCAACTTACAAAGAGACATGACTGATGGAACCTCCCCCAGGTTTTGAATGTAGAGTGTTTGTGTGTTCCTTTTCTAAATTAAGTTATCCCCTCAATATCTCCCCATGGTTTCTGGAATGGTCTGTTTAAAAAGAAAAGCAACTCACAAGGAAGCGGTGATACACTGGCTCTGGTCAACTACCACGTAAGTGGGGGCAGTGGGCAGGGGAGGCCCGCCTGTGGTGCTCCCTCATTCACCATGGGCCCTGGGAGCAAGCAAAGGGCCTACATTCTATTATTCTCTTGAGAGGTGTAACAGAAACACAAAACCCAGATCTAGTTAACAGAACTTTATTGTTAAATCACAGAAACTTTAGTGCAAAACAAAGGGAAATCACTGTCCTTTTAACAGTAAGGGCCCATCTTGCAGGCTAACTGGCAACCACAAGTGTAACAGGGGCTGCAGCAACCAGATGGGCAGCATACACTCTGCATCTCCCTCGGCTCATCACCTTCTGTCAGGCAGAGGCTTAGGAGCTTATCCTCCACATTTGTTTGAAAGGGAAGGTCAAAAAGAACCACTACACAATGGGCAGGGCATGCAGGGCACCAGCAGCCAGGCAGACACAGAAGCAAGCAGATGGCAGCCACCATTGTGGCCTCACACACATAAGCCAGGCCCAGCGGACCTCCACACAGCGGGCAAGTTACATTCAGGTGCATTTCATCCTCCCTCCCAAACCTACAGAACCACAAATAAGGCATGGACAGGAAAAAACAGGAAAGATTCAGAATTAGGGGTTGACCCAAGGATGGTAAATCTGCTGCCCCAATGTCCCAAGCCACAGCAGGTGCTTCCAAAATCTCTGTGCTACAATAGTGGAAATTACATTGTTTTAGAGATGTCATCGTGAGCAGAGGCTGGACGGCTTCCTGTGCTCTGGCTCTAAAAACAGCCCTCTTCTCAAAAGGGCAGCTAGAGACCTCACAGCCCTCATCCTTCCAGCAGAAAGGAGTGTCAGTGGGTAGCTAGTGACTCCCACATGACAGCAGTGCTACAATAAGGGAGACAGAAGGCGGGGGGGCATCAGGGAGGCCCTATTTTTTTAATAAAGTCAAACAGATCTGTGCACTCATTACCCCAGACACACAAGGAGGAAAGAAGGCTGTGGTTTCTGCAACATGGAAAACTCCTAGTTCCACACGTGGCGTCTGCAATGGTCCACAGCCTGGGAGGAGAAAAAAATAGTTTAGGCTTCAGAAGACTCCTGGCCTACAGCTATCAGGGATCACCCAAAAGTGGGACTTAGCACCTTATCCTAGTCAGCTGGATGGCATCAAATGCTGAGTGCCCAAGGCAGTGACTCACTTAAAACCAGGAAGTGAGGCATGGGAGCACACATTGTGTGCTTGGGAGGCTAAGGCAGGAGGATCCAGAGTTCAAGCTCATCCTGAGATGGGTTACATGGTAAGACACTGCCTTAAAAAAAAAAAGGCTGGAGGCATGGTTGAAGTGACAGACCATTTGCCTAGCATATGTGAGACCCTAGGTTTGATTGCCAGTATTAAAAAAAAACTAGGAAGCCTGTGGTCAGCGAGAGTTTTGAGGATGCATAAGGCAAAAGGCAGCAGAGGCAAAAGAGACAAAGCCCTTTACTGTTTTGCAGATGGGCACTCAAGCAGCCAGGGCTCAGGACTGAATCTACTCACACCTGGCCCCCAGTGTCCTGTTGCTCAGCTGCACAGAACAGAACCTCCTCATCCAACGGCCAGGGCCTATGCCAGTATAGGCCTGGAGAAGGGGAACCCCAGGCACATTTACCCAGGCTGGCAGCAGAAACTAGTTCCACTGCTGACAGTGTTGTACAGTGGATATGATGGTGAACAGGCTGGGGCCTAGATGAAGGAAGGAGCTGGACATGACCAGGGTGTGGGCCTCTCTGCCCCTGTAGTGGCCTATGATGACATGGTCACAAGGGACCCCAGGAAGGAAGAAAAAGTTCACAGAGGAACATTAACAGGGGTCAAGCCAAACATCCCCACCCAGGAAAAGCAGCATGGCCACCCAACTGGTGGCTGCCCAGCCAGGACAGTGTCATGGTCCTTTGGGGCTGCTAGGCAGGGGCTACCTCTCAGGGATACCCAAAAGAACTATAGCTGGCCATCAGGGAAGATTCTAGGCAGGCTCTAACCAGGACAAATGTGCTGCTGAGGCATAAAAGGACTTGTGCAAAGGTGTGGGCAGTGAGTCCTACAGGCCTTGTGCAATCCCTGGAGTGACTCTGTGTATACCTGGCACTGTCACAAAGGAACTGAAGACAAAAGCATGAAAGCTGAAACAAAAAAAAAAATACCCTCCACTCCCTGCCTAAAGACAAGTGTGAGGAACAAATGTGTCAAGTAACGGGGCGTGGCTCAATTGGTAGAGCATTTGCCTACCAAACTTGAGCATGAGTTCAATCCCCAGTACTGAAAGAAAAAATATATTAAAAGTGCAGTTAACTTTGCCTTTACTGGGCAACCCTGAGAGCCAAATTGTCTCCTGTACCTCAGGTCTCCCACCTACATGAGCAGGCACAGAGCTGACCACTGAAGTTCCTATCAGAGCAGGCCCCTCAGGGAGATAGTCCACAGAACTACTCACGTTGCACTGGGTTGCTGTCTCCATGTTCCGGCACCAGTAGCTGGGGCCCCAGACACACCTCTCAGTTCCCAAGAGCAGCTTACGGGCAGAGGGACAGGCTCCAATTTTCTGTATGGTACAAAAAGGACAAATGAAGGGGGAAGAAACAGGGCTACCCAACCAATCCCTTTCAGAACTGAGATTAAAAGGTTCCAGAAGCAGCTGGAATCAGCACTCACACACTTACTCAGACCATCAGGACTGTTGAAGAGAGCAGCGGGGCTTATAGGCCTGGTTCTCTCCTCCAGGCTGTCTGTCCCACACTCCACCCCCACTCTGCCCTATAACCAAGTGTCAGAGGAACCGTCAGATCCATGCAGCCCTCCCAGGTTACAGCAGCCTGGAGAAGTCAGGCTGCATAGTGAGGCTTACCGTGCACACGAAAGAAGGATCCATCACCTCCACGAGGATTTCCACCAGCACAGGCTCATACTCAGTCACGAACTCATCACACTGCCAAATGAATGGAGGACACAGGTCAAGTCTGCGTGTCCCACCAGAAACACTGAGAGCCAGAAAAGCCCAACAGGTGTTGGATGCTCTTCTATCAAAGTCATTCCCAGCCCAGGAGGCCCTGGGATTGCCCTTCCCAGACTCCCCTCCCACCTCATGGCCTCACTAGCCCAGGTTCTTTTTCTTCTGTGTCTCAGCACTAGCCAAGAGGTTGCCTCTAGGCAAAACCTCCCTGGGGAGAAGTTACCCCTCTCCATACTTCCACTGGGCACAGCAGAGAGCAGCTGCCTCCACACCTGCTTCTTGTAGGGGTCAGGCAGGAAGTTGCAGCCCTTCTCAAGAGCAGCCAGGATCTCCTCCTTGGTGCTGTTCTTCTCCAGGTTGTGCTCCAAATAGCTGACCAATTTCTTGCATACCTCACAGAAGCCACCTCCCTTCAGAGGAGTCACACGTGCTACACAAGAGGGTACAGGACTCAGTGCTAGCAGGGTTCTCTCAGATCAGAGAGGGCTGCCCTCTCCCACACCACACCGTTGGCTCACCAGGCAGCACAGGCAGTTTGGGCAGCACGGGCTGCTCAGGCAGCCTGACCTGGCTGATCTGAACCTGGCCCTTGCTGGAGGAGCAGAGACTGATCTCCCTGCACACCAAGTCAGGGCTTAGCTCCTGCAGAAGGAGCGACAGGATGGAGGGTCCATACGTGTCTACCACCTCCTGGCACACACCAGACACAGACTGGGGCAACTTTGAGCACACAACATCCAAAGCATGGATTATTTTTTCCTGAAACACAGAACAAAAGGATCATAGGAGATGGGAAGCTAGGCAAGGATGGGAGATTCTGAAACTACCAGAAAACTAACAGCAAACAGCTCTAAAGACTACACAGCTACTCTGACTAGAGCCACAAACAGAGCAAAGGCAGCCTTGCCTACCTCTAGTTCAGAGGGGTCCACAGGAGAAACTGCTATCTACAAAACAGGCATAGCTGTGCACATCCCCCTCATTCTGCACATAGTGTTGAAAACCAGCAAGAGGTCTGGGGTTGGGTTCAGTGGTAGAGCACTTTGCCTAGCATGTGTGAAGACCCAGGTTCAATCCCCAACCCATCAAAAAGAAGAAAAACTAGCAAGGGCCACACACTGCTGGGGTGTTCTGACTCTCGGGGACAAGAGTGGACCTCCCTGCAAGAAAGCAGCATACCTCAGTGCTGTTGTTCACAACCAAGTCGACCACCTTCTTCACCACGTACTCACAGGCTTTGCAGAAAACACCGAACTGGGCTGTGACCAGCTGCTCCTGTGAAGGGTGAGAGGACAGCACTTTAATGTTGGGACTTGTGATAACCCACAGGGACTCAGAGACCAGGGTAGGTCAGTATCACACTAAGGGCACTGCCTACCGAACTTGCAATTACATGTGACTTCCTCCCAATGTCCAGGTACAATTTCCTACTGTTTGTTTACAGTGAGGGAGGGCCATCACTCTTCCCAGTCCTCCACCATCACCACTCCCTCCACCCCCAAAAAATATAAAACCCAAGAATCCATACTTTAGGAGGTGGAAGCAGCACCCCTCCCCCAGCCCTGAAGGGCTGTCCGTATGTGCCTAGTTATAACCATTTTGTTATTCTGTGTTCATTTTGGGGAGGTGGATGGTGGAACAGGAAGAGAATATCTACTTTTAAAAGTCAGACATAAACACATTTTGGATCTGCTCTTGACTTTTCAGTCTCATTACCCCCCAACACTGCTGTTCTAGAATCTACCTTTAATAAAGCAATACTGTTAGGGAGACCTTTCTGTGAGAAGGCAAGCATTCTCCACCTCCACTGTCCCTTACAGCAGGCACCAGCTCCATGTGTCTACCAAGCACTTTTGAAATGCAGCTGGTCTCATCAAGCACCTCAAGTCTTATTTTTGCTTAATTGTAAGTAGTCACACATGGTTGAAGAGTCCAAGCTACAACTCTACTGTTTTTACTGTGAAATGGATAGGGGAGGAGGGCAGGAGGCCCTGCTTCCCTGACTCCGTCAGATGTTCAAACCCTTCCTGTGGTCACACACACTGAGGATGCAGAGGAAACAGGACAAGGAAACAGCAGGCAGCCAGATGACATGGACATTCTAGAAAAACAGGCATGTACACATGCCATTATGTAAGGTGTCAGGCGGACAGGATCCTGAAGGGGCAGAATGCCAGTCCCATGAACACAGGGCATTAATTCCCCACAGTCCTAGAACTTGCCTGGCCAAGAAGAGATACTGAACACAGATTCATTAGAAGATGAAGGAGTAGATAATCTTTACCAAGGGAAAGGCTCTGGGGAAACATACACACCTGCACAAATAGGTGCAGGTGTAGGCCCAGCGAGGACTCTGCACCAGTACTGGGCAAAGAATTATGGAAGTAGTATTAACTCTGTCTTGGGCTACAGTATAGGGAAGGACCCAAAACAAGCATTTGAAAAGGTCAGGCTGCAGCTGGGTATTGAAAAACCATGATGAATGACAGACTGAATAACCATAAACTTGCTTCACCAGGGTCTCTCACCAAAGAAACAAATGTTTTACAAACAGCTGGGCATAGGCTGAGTCATTACAGGGGTACCTGTTCAATACCTAGTGGTTTCAAATGCAAACGAGCTGGGCAGGGAACCAAAAAAAGCATGTGACTCTAGGATGTGACAACATGGAGTAGCAGCTAGCACAAATCAATGACACCACATACCTCCAGAGGATCCACCAGTTCCAGGGCAGGGATGACATTCTCAGCGGCCACTCTGGCAGGGACCAGAGTCTGCATGGGCACTTCCTTGACCTCATCACAGAAGCCAATCAGCACACAAATCTCCTTGGGTTGCTGAAGAGAGCACAGAGCCACTGTCAGACACAGTCTGCACCACTGCCCTCATCCCCCCTCACTAGACATCAAAGTTCCCCAGGTCAAGGCTGACTCCTCCTACCCAGGCTGGTAGGGACTCCAGATTCAATTTAGAAATGCTCATGTCCCAAACATGGAGCACATGTACCAGTTACAACTGGGGGAGGAGCCCATCAGGCAGAGCCCGAGGCCTCAGCTGCTCCAACCTGGACCATCATAAGGAACAGAGCCTCCCACCAAGTGTTTCTCAGCTCACTCTCTGTAGAAGCAAGCTCTTCCATAAATTAACAGAAATCCCAATGAGTTAGAAATAAAACCACACCGGATCTTTCAGCAGCAGGACCATTTAAAAATGATACATTTAAGGGAAATGCTGGCTTTTTTATAAACCACATTCTGTGTTCACAACTGCACACAGTACATAGACACAGGAGAGCCCAACCCCCATAGCGATGAGTCATTTCAAGTCACAAGATCTTCAGAACGGTGCCCTCTCACCATCTAGACACCATGCCAGAGTTGGGACAGCCTGACCATTACAAGGGCCAAGAGCAAGACAAATACTTGTGTGAACAAGTGCAGCCAGCCCCAGCTCAGGGCCTGACCAGTCTGCCTCCCACCACCAGGCCTGCAAGAGTGAAACAGGACTGCTTAGGCCAGCAAGCTACACCATAACATGCCCACCTTCTGCCATCAAGAGCACTCTAAGTAAGGCTGAGGGACTGGGAAACGTGTATCTCAAACTCTGTCTGGTACACCTTAATATAGGGGAGGGCTGGGGATGTAGGCAGTGGTTTTGTAGTTGTGTAGCACTAGGCTAGACACCCAGTACCACAAAAAAAGGGGGGAGCAGGGACAGAACGAGGCTGAAGACACAGCAAGCTTTTCAGAAAAATAGATACTGAGATTCAGGAGGCCGATGGCTGCTTTTGTCTCAGGATCAGCTTTGTTCTGACTCCAAGGCAGCTGAATTTGGTGAAAATTCAGGCCCTTCAACCCAAGTCCTCTCCATGAAACTTCAAGATGCCTCCCAATATCTGTAACTAATCCCAGAGTGGATACCAATGCTTGGAAGTGGGCAAGTGGGCAATGCTCAGGACAGCCCCAAAAGGGCATTGGCTCGGCTAGTATGGACTGTGGTATGGTTCCCACAGCATGTCAGCCAATGTGGCTCCAGATCCCAAAGGAGCCATCACCCGGAGAGGAGAAGCCACATCGAGAGGCTGTTTCCAATTCTCTGGGTCAGCAGCCGGGACGGGCTAAGGCGGTTTGCACCTGATTTGCTCATGCAGCAGAAGCATTTCTGGGGTTAAGAACATAGCACTGAAGACATGCAATGCCCACTTGCATTGTGACAGACACAAGGTGTTGCACCCAGAGCCAGGTCTCCACTGAAGGAAGCTCAGGTGCTTCTCGGGCCACCCATGGTTCCTCATCACTGGTGATTCACACATGTGCATGCCATGTGTCCGTGTCCAGAGCACAAGGCTTCATTTTCCAGTCCCTGAAGGGGAAATGATTCCTCAACACCTCAAGGGCTGAATCTTGGGAAGGATGCCTAAAGCAGAGGGGGACCACCCTTGCCTTTCACAACCATTCCTTGTATCTGTCAGAGCTCACCACGCCAGACCACAAAAGTAAAATAAAAAAAGAACAGAGTAACTAGAAGAAGCAGATTACTACTACAAGCAAATTCTCCATCACATACCTGATCCTGCTGTTGAACAAAAAACAGGAAATCGAAGTAAAAATAAGAGAAAGGAAAGGAAAGTTAAGAAAGTTTAAACAACAATCAGGCAGTTAACCAGGCATACAGATATACAGAGTTTAAAGGACACAGGCTGGCAGTCTGGTACCTTGCTCCTATGAGCTTATGGGGCCCTGAAAGCTGCTCAGGCCTTTGAGGGATAGGCCACACTGTCCAACAGGTGTGTGCACTATCCCTATGTCCAATACCCAATCATGACCCAAACACTACAGCAAGGACCCCAGAAAATGCCACTCTGTGAAAGAGTTCCATCCCTGGAGCCTGACCCCACCCAGCCTTCCCCACAGGTTGGCTACCTGGACACAGGTCTGCCAACAGAGAGGAGAAGAGGTAAACAAACCACCTCTCTCCACTGCCCAGGCTCAAGGCAATCTACTCCACAGCCAGATGGTGGCCTGGAAGGCAGATGTGACAATGTATCAAAAGGCTTGTGCTGTGACTAGGAACTGCAGCTTCAGTTATCCTCACTAGGGGGAAAACAACGATGGGCACAGATGTATGTAGCTGGCTATGAGAAAGTACATCATTCCAAGGGCAAACCTAAAAACAATCTAAACATCCAGTCACAGGGGACTGGTTATATAAATTGTGTTCTACTCACATGGTAGATTAATATGCACACATAAAAGTCATGTGTATAAGAATATTTGATAACCAACCTCTTTTCCAGTGCAGAGGTGGAGACCTGGGTATGCGCAACATTCAGCTTGACCCATGTTAATACTGCTTTACAAGAGGTGTTGAAGACTGCTATTGTCCACGATGGCCGAACAAGTGGAATTCATGACTCTGTCAAAGCCTTAGACAAGCGCCAAGCCCATCTTTGTGTGCTTGCATCCAACTGTGATAAGCCAATGCACGTCAAGGTGGTAGAGGCCCTTTGTGCTGAGCACCACATCAACCTCAGTAAGGCTGATGACAACAAGAAACTAGGGGAACAGGCCAGTCTCTGCAAAATTAACCAAGAGTCTGCCAGGCACCAGGGGCTGTAACCCTAGCTACTCGGGAGGCAGAGATCAGGAGGATAGTGGTTCAAAGCCAGCCCAGGCAAATAATTCCATGAGACCCTATCTCAAAAAAAAAAAAAAACCCTTCACAAAAAAAGGGCTGGTGGAGCAGTTCAAGGTGTAGGCCCTGAGTTCAAGCTCCAGTACTTAAAAAAAAAAAATTGATCAAGAGGGAAAACCCCATGAAGTGGTTGGCTGCAGTTGTGTAGAGTAGTTAAGGACTAGGCAAAGAAATCTCAGGCCAAGGATGTCACCAAAGAGTACTTCAAATGCAAGAAATGAACAATTAAAAAAACGTGGCTCAAAAGAAAAAGAATATTTAATGATCAACATACTTTATAGGGAAAAATGCAAAGTAAAGTATAAAGTAGTATATAAAATAGCACCTCACTGGTGTTTTCTCAAACCCCAAATGATTTTTGATCAGGGAAATATCCGCATTTTCAAAAAATTTCTACACAGTACTTATTATGAGAATAAGGAAACACTTCACTATGTCACTTCACAGTGAAGGCTAAGGTACGTGTCGTTGTAAACTGCCTTTAAACACTTTTGCAAGGCAGGGTTTGAGAAATGATCCATAATAAACCACTGTGCCTGGATGGGCTATTTGAGTGAGCAAAGCAGGCAGAAAGTAACACCAGACTCTGCGTGTCATAAGGTCTTGTTGCTCAGGGAGCACAAAATAGGAGTCACTGGGTTTCAACAAAACTATTTGCAAAGCAGGTGGCAGGCCACAGTTTATAGACCCCATATTCAAGACCAAACTCAACAACTGTACATCAGTCTTAATGTTGAAAGTCAGCATGAGAGGACACCCTGCAAGGTAGATCTGAGACAGCCAATGCCTGCTCCTGGTCAGAATGCCTTCTGATCAGTCAGCTCCATCTTCCATGATCCCACTTCTCACAAAGGAATGAATGTTCCCTGCCACCTGGACACATGGAATGCCGATGCAGGAACTGGAGCTTGGGTAGCAACTGCAGCCAACTCCGCTTCAGGGCACAGGACCCCTCTACCAAGTCAGGTTCCTCCCCTCCCCTCTCTGAACAAACACACAGCCCAACAGCAATTCCCCAGCCTGTCTTCGTGACAGGACAGACTACTACTACCAGCATTACAGCCAAACACTAGCACTCTGATGGCACGTGCACAGGCAAACAGGCCCTAGGCTGCTGCAGGGCAGTCCTGGGATCAGCTGGGGTTTGGGCTGAGGCTGCAAGTACAGCCTGCTGACCAGGATTTGGTTCGTTTTGGTCCAATTCAGTACTCTTAGGTTAAAAGGGGGAAGCTAAATCATGTAATTTAAAATGCTGGAAAACAAATGCTATTAAGGGTTCTCTTGCCACCTACCATATGCATCATCATCTGGACGGCAATCTCGGAGTACTGGCTGATATAGTTCTTGCACTGAAGAGACAAACAGGTTGTTAGGCACGCTGAAAAACCATGCCAGCTTCTTCAACGCCAACTGCTGGCTACTAACCAAAGTCCCTAGAGTAGAATTTTGTGTCTGCTCTGAACAAGTTTTAATAAAATAAAATGATAATTTGTTTATCCTACAATCTACAAGAACTGTGTGGAGAAGGTGTTTTGAAAACACTTACCAAAGTGTCATGAGATTCTGTCCTCCTCTCTATTTTATGGCCCAAACTTGCCCCAACATCATACATCAATCCCTCTGTCTCAATGTAAAGAGAATGTACCTACAACATAGACTACTTAGGAACCCAAGATTACTTCCCAAACCCATTTATACATGCTCGCACAGGGATACAAAACTTAATGATTTTCAATGCCTGTTTTCATATGAATCTAGATATTTCCAGTCGATCCTCAGAGAATAGCTTCTGTTCTAATTGAGTGCTTCGTTGGTGAAAAAATCAAGGGTGATGTGACAGCCCTGAGAGAGGATTTATTTAGGAAATCAATTAACATCACCATTGCAAACTTATTTTAATAAGGGTTTCATGATTTAAGATAAAAATGACTATAGTGATGTCACTGCCAGCCCTAAAGAGAGTTAGTTGACAGGTGCCCTCAGCTCCCAGGGCCAGTCATTCCCAGCCAGGAAGGCTGTTCCAATTCTAGGGCACAGAGTTACTACAACTGACTTTGCAGAGTGCCGGTTGGGCAGGTTCTTCAGGTGGTCTGGCACTAAGCTGGCATTTCAGCTTTGCATGTCCATTTCATGAGCATGGTAAATAACCAGAGTAAGGTCCAAGAAACGAAACTACTTAAGGAGCTAACAAAGTGGGCTTCGGAGACTAAGGAAGGTGTTGTGGTGAGTGTTCTGCAACTCAATTTTCCTGACAATCCCACTTCCTGTGGGAAACAGGCTTAGAATTGTGAGCTACATAAACAATAGCCATGCTTTTAAAAACAGGATTGTAGGTGATTCTAATACATTTTGTAGGTGTTTCTCATACATATGATGATAGGAATTAAAAAACAATCGTTAAGGAAAGTGGTCTTCTGCTATCTTGTCCCAAGAGTTTTGTCACATGCCAGATGCAACTGGTGAAAGTATACCTACAGCAGTTAGGAAGAAGGAAAGAGATTCTGTGAACTACTTCATCCTCAGAGCAGCTGGTTGCAACTTAAAACAGCACCCCACTGAAGTAACAGGTCATACTTCCTTGGCTCCCCCATTCTGCCTCCAGAGCAGAGACGCAGGACTCACCATGTCAGCCATGCCAGGCCCCAGGCGATCACACTCCTCCTTGGCATGCTCCACCAAGCCCTGGACAAAGGTGGAGTTGGTCCTCACAGCGGTCTGGATGTCTGTCACCATGTGCACACAATCCTGGCAGACGTCACCATTAGCCTACAGAGAAGGCAGATACAGGATGCAGCTGTGCAGCTATGAGGGCTCTGGCTCCTGGGCAAGCACCTTACCCACCCACAGCCGCAGCATCAGGGCTGGCTACTCAGCAGGTCTTACGGGCTAGGTTCCCAATCTCATGGGCGTTCATTCTGGTGACAGTACTTTGGGGACAGGAGGGGGAGGTCTGGGGTTGTATCTATAGTAGAGCTTGCATTTAGTGTGTGCAGAGTTCTGGGTTCCATCCCCAGTATCAAAAAGTAAGGGGTTAGATGTTTGCATATTTTAAATACCCCATTCTTTATAAACTGCACAGTGTAACACATGAAGGCTGGTTCAGCTTCAGCTTAGAAGCATGCACACTCCACCTCTTCTCTCCTAGGTCATCTTCCGTGCATGCACACAGCCTTCTCATTGACATTTCACTCACTTTTGGCTGGGGCTGGCTTTGGGCACCATCCTGAGGGTACAGGAGTAGGGGGATATTGGCCATGAAGGGTGCCACCATCCCCGTCACATCCACTTCTGGGATCTTATTGGCCTCGAGCTGCTTCTGATGGTTCAGCTCTGCCAGGTGCTTCTGCAGAGACTGGCAGAGGTTGAGTGCAGAGCACACCTCCCCAGGATGGCTCTGGTGAGGAGAAAAACCCAGCTGTGAGTCCCCTCCCCGCAGGAGAGCAAGAAAGGCTACCAGGTGCCTTTGAGCAGTTCCTCTCCTCAAATACCTTAAAAAGAAACATACAACTGAGTTGTTTAAATTCAAATTGCTCAGTTTGAAAACTATAACCCATGTTCCACACAGCAACCTCCGGGCTTCCCAAATGTCACCTCTGTTTACTATCAATTCTTCCTGAAAGGAAGATGGCATGAAGTGTCAAGCTAACACACCCCACTGGTGTCAAAGACCTTCCACAGGACTCCCAAGTTCTCAGTTCTTACCATTGCAATGGTTAAAAGACTTAGCCAGAGGGAAGCCATTAATCAGGTGCCACGTTAGCTTCAAAGCTGAAGGAGGTTCATGAGGGGGTCTGGTTCCCATAAAATTAGAAGAACAGAAGGAACCAAACTAGGATATGGTCAAATAATTGTGTGGATTGTGTTTACTCATGCTTATAGATAGCAGCCAGTGTCTCACTTCTGTACCTTAGCTAACAGTTATTGTCTTGCTTCTATACCTAGGCTAGCTTGCTTCGCAAAGATTGCCAGACAGGATGTAGTTTTTGCCTTTATAAACCCTGCAAAAGGTTAGAGAGGGGCTGCTTTGAGTCCCAACGACCTGTTGGTCATAGCAGTCACCAGCTGGCTAATAAAGACTCTCCCTTAAAGTCTTCTTTGGGTGGTCATGCTTTGTTTTACCTTATAACACCATGACTCATACAAACGCCCACCTCAGACATCTCCAAATTACCCCTAACACTACCCCCACCCAACCTGCTCCTCCCCCAATCTCAATTTTAGCAAAAGACTCCCCTATCTTCCCAGAGAGCTAGAAGACATTCCCAACTCTCCCCTCTCCTGTACATTCCCTCAATTGGCAAGGCCGGAGCCTTCACTCTTCAGACACAATGGCATCTACAATCCCCACCATCACTACCACCATCTCCTGACAGTGTCATAGCCTCCCAAGCATCCTGTCTATGTCACTACTGCAGCTCCCAACCTCGGGGCCTCAACCAAACCCTTTAGAAAACATAAGTACAATGTCATTCCCCACCTTGCCATGCTCCAAGGGCTTCCTGCTGCACATGCAATCCATGAACATGGCCCAGAAAGCCTTGCATGATATGACCCCTGCCTTCATCTTCCTCACCAAAATCTTGGTCCTGTCTGGGCACATTCTGCCCACTGGCCCTCTAGTTTCTTAAGTACTCTCCTTCCTCAGGGCCTTTCCAAATTCCACAAAGTTGGCTCCTCATTCACTGCTGAAAACAGCCTCTGGCACATGACGTGGGTACAGTACATACTTGAATGAAAGATGAGCATCCTAGTAACTGAGCCCAAAGGACAGTCTCTGAATTATTCCCTAACTCTAAACTCACAAAAGACCAGGCACTGGTGGCTCACACCTGTAATCCTAGCTACTCGGGAGGCAGAAAACAGGAGTTTCAAAGCCAGCCCAGGCAAATAGTTTGCAAGACCCTATCTTGAAAATATCCATCACAAAAAAAAGGGATGGTGGAGTGACTCAAGGTGAAAGCCCTGAGTTCAAGCCCCAGTACCACAAAATAAATAAATAAATAATAAAATAAACTCACAGAAATGAAACTATGTGTTTCCTCAGAAGGTCAAAGACCTGACAGGCATTATCCAGTTGGTGTCTATAAATGTTATGCAGCAATTCCACAGCCCCACTTGCCACACCCATTTGCAGAGGACTCTGCCAGATATTCCAGACAGCGGAACCACATGAAGAGATGGTGACAAATTCAAAAGCCGTAAACTCACTTTCCATTTAATCACCCTGCTCTGTGCTGCTACTTCCTCTGGGCCCTGGAAGAATTGGGAAGGAAGAGCCTGTTCCCCACCACCTACCATTTCCCCTTTAATCATGTCCAGGATGACAGGAAGATAAGAGTCAACTGCTTCCTTGCATGAGGCTGACAAGCTGGGGTTACGAAGCCAGTCACAGGTCTTCTCCAGGTAACTGAGGATCTCCTCCTGCAAGGAGCCACAAGGCAAGGTTCACGATCAGGAAGGCTACTATCCTGCAAATGGCTGAAGGCAAAAGACCCTCTAGGTCTCCAGAAAAAGCAAGCTTGGAGAACAGCCAACACTCAGGGAAAAGGACTGTAGGAAGCTAGTGGTTACCTGTGGCTCTGTCAGCTCAACAGGCAAGTGTGGACACAAAAAACTCAAAATGAAAACTTTCCCCCATGGTCTGACAGGCACAGGGAAGTGTGAGTAGACATAGCCACAGGCTAACCAGATGCTAATGAAATGCAGTATGAAGTTCCAAATACCTGTGGGTATTTAGTATTTGGTCCTGAGGCCAGCAGGCTAGGCCCTTTCATTTTTGTACAGCCTGGGGTAAAGAGCAATTTTTACATTTTTAAAAAAGTGTTTTTAAAAATGACTGGCCAGGCATGGTGATGCATGCCTGTCAACCTAACACTCAGGAGGACTGAATGCTGAGGGAGAAGAATCACTGAGTACAGCCTGGACTACATAACGAGACTCTGTCTTTAAAAACAAACAAAATGGCTGACAGTTTGTGGCCCCTAAGACCTAAAATATTTCCCACTTGGCCCTTTCCCCGTTGGGCCTAGACCAGTCTTCTATGGACCCCCAGAACCATAGCTCTCCTAAAAAAATCAAAGCCTGTGCCATAGTCACCCCAACCCCCAGCAGCTCACCTCAGTGGCATTGTCTTTCAGCATGTCTCCGGCTGCAGTGACGACCTGTTTACATATGTCACATGGAAGGGATTTCTAAGAGGAAAGGACATGAGGGAGAGAGATCTGTATTTGCAGGATAGAATTCACACCCCACAGAGATGAACCCCCCCCCTCCCCACCACCACCAAGCCCTTTTCCTATTCTATCTGACCAGGGCTGTGATCAAGGCCACACTCCACTGTCATATATCCTGGTGCCTGACAGTGAGGAACTCTAGGACACTATGGGGAAGGACAGGTATGATATTCATGAGGGGTAGATAAACTTTTCTTATACCCTCTCCCCCTCAGTCCCCTGCTCAGCACACAATGCAAGTCACATGAATGCTCACAGCAGCTGAGAAAATGGGCTCAGAAGATAAAACTACCATCAATCATATCACAGAATAATAGCTGGGGCAGCAGGGACTCCAATGCCAATCACTGTGCTTCTGCACATTTCCACTGGCTCCTCAACTACTTTCTGTTCCTGGTCAGTGCTGTGCGCAAATCAAAGACACTCGCCAAGACCAGTATCCTGACAAGCCTGGCCATCACCCAGCCTAGGAAACATGGAAATTCTAGTTGGTTCTCAAAGGCATGCACAGGCTCCAAGCTCCCTTCTTTATGTCAACTTATTGAATGACTCTGGACCAGTGGACAAGGAGCTAACATGTCTGGATGAGAGTAGGGGCACCTGTGAACAAAGGTGCACTCAGAAACTAATTTGAACCTTCAGACCTCCTCAAGCTAATACTGTGCATAGGGCCATAACAAGAGAGACCTGGGCAGCCCTGAGACCACCCAATCAAGAGTGTCCTAAATCCCTCACTCAATACTCATTCAACTTAGAAAGAGGAAGCATTATTCAAAACAAGACTGAAAGCAAATAAGAACTCAGAATCTAGTTCTGAAAGCAGTATTATTTCACCAGATTTTCTTCCCTTATGAAGGTATGCTAGTGATCACTGACAACTTTGGAACTCAACTCCATTTGGTTAAATGCAGCCTGTACCATATGATAACCAACACAGCCCAGAGTGAGCCAGGACCCATGTGCCTTCTGCTGGTTCAGTCAGCAAAGTCCAGTCCCAAAGGTTCAGGATACAGGAAGAAGGCACACAAGGTTTTTCATCTCACACGAATTTACCAGAGCCATAAATGAACATGCTGTATTTACCATCACCTAAATGAGAAATCAGTGGCATCTTTCCCAGTGTGGTCATAGCTGGAAACAAAAGTTTAAGTAGCAATAAAGCCCATGGTCTCAGTTAGTGGTCTGCTTCTTAGGGAGGAGGGAGATCAAAAGGGGAAAGGGCCTGAAAAGCTCAGCATATACTTGTGGAGTGAACAATAAATGCTGGGCTGTGCCCATTTGCCCACACTGCAGACCCACTGGCCACCATTTAGGATACAAAGGGAATCTATAAGAAGGCCCAGAAGGCAACTCGGACACGCACAGTGACAGACATGGAGGCCCTCGTCCCAACTCTGCCACCAAGAGCTGGGCAGCCTCAGGGAACAGGACAGGACCTTCCCTTCTTTGAGCCTCCATTTCCTCTGTGGTGAATTAAGCACACCGACAGGTCTTGCCTGCCACGAAGAGTCACCAAGGGGAACAAAGAAAACCAGGTAAGAGAAAGTGCTCTTGGACAGGTGGTGAGTTACAGAAGACACTATGGGCCAAGGCACAGACCAGGGAACCCAATGTGGGGCTGGGAAGGGCGCTTACCACCATGGGCTTGCTCCAGACGGTCTGTTGGCAATGCTTCAGGGCCCCACAGTCTACTGCCGTCTTCAGGTCCTGGCACAGTACTGCTGAGCCCCCAGAACATTTTTGCAGGTCTGGGACAGGGCCAGTGAGAGCTGAAAGGAAAACAGGCATGAGGGGTGGCCCGCTATTCAACAAGCTGGCACTCCTCACTTCCCCAGAGTTAAAGACAGCCCTGCCTGTTGGCTGGGCCCTCCCCAGCCTACGAGCACAAAGCGTATGGCTGGCCTTTCAGGAAGCAGGGCAGTCACAGTCATGGTACTGGAAGGTCTCATTTTATCCTTTTCACTACTTTAAACAGTATCTTTGAGTCCTTAAAATCTTTTTATGGTTTTTTGTTTGTTTGTTTTTGCTATTGTTGTTTTGGGGTTTTTGAGACAGAGTATGGCTATGGAGCCCCAGGTTGGCCTTGAACTTTCAATCCCCCCACCTACAGGTGATCCTTAAAACCTTATTAAGCCAGCCTGAACTACAAAAGGAGACCCTGTCTCAAAAAAAAAGAAAAATTTTTTAAGTCTCCGTTAAGTAATGAAAGCAATAATAGAAGGAAAACAGTGACTAATAGATTTAAATATACAGAAAATCTTAACCTTCTATAGAATGTAAAACTATAGAATGAAAGGGTTTTTTTAAACCAAAAGCAGCAAAACACCAAGGACTCTTGAAGTTTTTCAAGCAGAAGAGTACTTCTTTTCTTTTCCTAGGTGTGTGTTTCATTTGTTTGTTTTGACAGTACTAGAAATTGAACTCAAGGCTTCTAGCAAGTAATCTACCACTTCAGCCCCACTCTTCTCTGTTTTCTGAGACAGGTTTCTGCCTCAGCCTCCACAGGTGTCTGTCACCAAGCCTACCTAGAAAAGCACTTTTATAGATCTATTTCTAGGGACTAGGAGGGTGTGTAGCTCAGTGGTAGAGTGCTTGCCTAAAAGGCATGAGGACCTGCATAAATACTTAAATAAATACATAAATAAACAATCCACTGTGAGTCTTTGCACATAAACAAGTTTAACAGTAGGAAATAAAGACTATATAATCCACTTTAGTATCACAAAATGAGCACACGTCCATTCAAAACCAGGTGAAAGGCCTTGGGCAGAGCTCACACACAGAAGTGCTTAGGGAAAAAAAAAAAAAAAAAACAGTGGAGACCAGAGAATGCAAGTTAAAGCAACAGTGTCCCATTTTGAAAGTTAAATTAACCAAGAAGGAAAAAACTTATGCCAGAATGGCATGAAGGTTGTAATAAAAGATTCATTCTTCTACAGCTGATAGCAATGTGACTGGTAAGTACTTTTCAAAATAAATTAACATATTTCAAGACTTACTAGAGGAAAAAAAAAATCCCTCTTCAAAAAGCATGCATAGGTCAGTGGCAGAGTGTTTGCCTAGCTGCATAAGGCCCTGGACTTGAGCGTTCCAGCACCAAAGAAAAAATAATCTAGAAGCATACTTCTGCTTCTAGAAGGACATTAAGAACTAGAAATTTAAAAGGCAAAATGTATAAGCATGAATGTATTGAATGTCATTTACAATACTAGAAACAACAGGCTATAACTTGAATGGCCAAAAACAGGGAGGAAAAAAACCAACAACATTTTACTGATATTTACTGAACTGTTATGCAGCTGTCAACTATAAAGATGTACATCAAAGAGGAAAAAAATCAAGAATATATAATTATACTGGAGTTGTATAAAGACAAGAAAATAAACCAAACAGGATGGCTTGCTGCATTATTGTGCTTTTAACTCCGTGTGTGTGTGTGTTTTAAAGTTCACAAACTGCCTTGAGAGTACCTATGTTTCTTAAAATAGGTATATGGTAACCTTGACCTCAGAACCAAAGAATGGGAGAACCCTCAGATTTATGACTCACCTCTAACCACTTACATAGCTAAGAAAGGACAGACTCTATCACACCACACACAGAAGATAGCGTGATGGCATGGGGCCAAACTCCAGCAGAACCCGAGCAGGGCTGAACCATCTTTATTGTAACTAGGAGACATCTGGCCCAAGTGTCTCCTAGTTAGTGTCAGAAGAAAGCCCCACAGCCACCCAAGATACTCAAGAGTCACACCATTTTACCACACAAGCCCAGTGACAGGATACCCCAGTTCTAAGTGCCTGGAGCACTGACACACACTGCCAGTAGGTTCTTCCTCCAGGACAAGAAGGGAATGACATATGTCATTACTACTTCCACAAGCTATGCATGCAAAGATGATCAGACCAGATCATCAGCCCCCCTTCAGACATCAGCAAATGGACTCATTCATCAGCTACCCCAGTTCCAGCCTTCCCTGTGCCCAGGGAGCCAAATTATAAATAATAAACACAAGTGCTTCACAACCTCCACTGCCACACTCCAGAAGCTGTTGGTTTGGACTCTGGTTTCTGTAGGGGAAATGTGCCAGATTCAAAAGAATACCAGGTTCTCCAGATGGCTCACACAAGTTTGGTTAACCCACAATGTGGCCAAGCTAGGCTGGCACCAGGTGCAGGGATGGGGGCAGGGTAAGTCACAAGGGTAATCGCTCTGGCAGGTGTGGGACAGGAGACCACAGGTGGCCTTCCCAGGTACTGGCTCCTAGGACTTCTGAAAGGCACTCAGCAAAAGACACTGCCTGGTTCTACCCAATGATGGACAAGATGGGTCTCTGGGCAAAAGAAACACACAGTGGTGCTTGAGGAGCCAGAAGCAGGCCTAGATAGGAACAAGCAAGGAAGGCAGAGGCAAGTGACCACCATTCTCCACACTTACCAGTGCTCAGTCAGATATAACAGTGACCCAGCAATGTCTTAAACCATCTCAACCAGAAACTGGCTCCAACTGACCAAAATCTACCAAGTTTCTGGGAACACAAATCACTATCACAGGCCTGAGCCACAGACAGACTTTGTAGGTGTTTCCTCCTTCTAAGACATGACACACAATCATTTTCAACCACACCTTGTGGTTTATTTTGGCCAGGCAATTCTAGACCAAAAATAATCTTGGACACTGGTTTGTGTTAGCTGATTGAACACTGTCACGTTCAAGTCCAAAGGTTACTGTCCAATGACCACCTGAATGAGGTAAAAGGTATGCACAGTGGAGATCTGCACAGCTACAGTCATCGGGTTCCACACTGAAGTCCCCCCTCCTAGAAATTCAGTTCAAGCAAGACATCCCCATCCATCTCTAGCCGAAAGCCAAATTTATAAAGATGATCTTGTCTTCATTACCAAAGGGAGCTGAAGTGCCTGCTGATCTTCAGGATCAATAACTCAAGGCTGGAAGCCAAGCTGCAGTGACACTACAGAAAGACACGGGAGTCGGTCTTCAGGAGGGTCATCTCCTGAGAAGGAGGCACGGAGGCAGAACTTTTTTGGGACATGGGTCCCTTTCCCAGAAAATGTATTTATACATAAAACTCTCAGACCATTTCAGGAGGTTCTCAAGGAACCCAGCTGTGGACTTAATCAGAAATTTTAAACAGGGGCAAGGATGGCAAGTGGGAAAACTCAGAAAGAGGTGTGCCTACCAGCTCCATTGACTGGCCTGTGCCCTCAGGAAGAGACCAGGGTGAACAGACATGAGCCACCTCCAACCCCCAAGAGTCACAGGGACAGAGATCTAAGGAGTGGTGTATGTGACAGCTGTTCTAGAAATGCAGGGGAACCGTGTCAGGAGCAGCCAAGGGGATGACTAAAGGGCTGGGGGTGCAGCTTGGTGGCAGTAACTCACATGTGGGAGGCCCCGGGCTGTACCCCACCATCACAAAAAGAGAAGAATAAAGGAGCCTTCTTCAAACAAGACTGGACTTGGAGCTGGGCGCCAGTGGCTCATGCCTGTAATCTTAGCTACTCAGGAGGCAGAGATCAGGAGGATCATGGTTTGAAGCCATTGGGGCAAATAGTTCATGAGACCCTATCTCAAAAAAGCCCATCACAAAAAAGGGCTGGTGGACTGGCTCAAGGTGAAGGCCCTGAGTTCAAGCCCCAGTACCACAAAAAAAAAAAAAGACTGGACTTGGGCTAGATGCCGGTGGGAAGCTGAGATCTGGAGGATTGAGGTTTGAGATGAGCTCAGGCAAATAGCTCAAGACACCCCATCTCCAAAATAACCAGAGAAAAAGGGATGGGAGGTGGAAAAAGTAAAAGGTATACAGTAAAGCGTCTGCTTTGCACACGTGACATGTGAAGCTGAGTTAAAACCCCACTTCCACCCAAAAAAAAAAAAAAAACACTGGACTGGCACCTGGAAGATGGTGATACAAGACAGTCTGGGGAGGGAGGAGGGGCAATCCAGAACATTTCATGTGCATGCCGGTGAGAAAGGAGAAAAGGTGTCCCTTGTCTTTTCAGGACAGGAGTAAAGGGAAGGAGCTAGACTGAAAAGGTAGGCAGATCCAGGCACACTGGGGATGCTTCACTGGCCACACATCCGTAGGCAAGGAACCCACTGTAGGCACTGTCACAGGAGCCGCTGGGCACTTCTGAGAAAGCACAGAGCAAGCAGGCTTATGTCCATGTCAACCACAACAGCCGAAGTGGCAGAAGTGAAACAGAGAAGGCGCAGGTAGCAGTATACCTAACTAGAAGGCTACTTAAGGAAGTCCAGGCAAAGCTGGGCTTGGTGATACATAACTACAATTCCAGCACGTGGGAGGCTGAGGTAGGAGGATCATGAGTTCTAGGCTAGCCTGGGTGACATAGGGAGATGAAGGAAAGAAATGAAATGAAGGAGAGGAAGGAGAGGGAGGGAATGGAGGGAAGGGAGAGAGAGAAAAAGGGAGTGGGGGGAGAGAGACAGCAATGAGGAGGGAGATAGAGAGAGGGAGGGAAACCCCAGTACTGCCAAGTAAAAGAAAGAAGTCCAAGGCAAGACATGGTGGCTCAAGGGCTGAGGAATTAACAGAAAGACTCCAACAGGACAAGACAGCTGGGAAAATGAAACTAATGAGGTTCAACAGGAAGCCATCAGGCTGAAAGAGAAAACAAAAAAGCTCGAGGATGGGGTAGGGTCAGAGCACAGCCCTCTTAGCCAGTATGCCAGAGGGCAGGACACAGGACACAGGACACAGGGAGGAGGAAGGAGGAGACATACCATG